GCTGGCGCAGGAGTTACGGTCTCGTCTGCACACAAGCACACGCGCGTGCACACACAGACCCCATGTCAGCAACGCATGCAGAAAGACTCACGCTGTGAACGTGGCTCTGTCCCCACGGTACGACACTTTACAAGGGTGATGTCGGAGCAGCACATTTCTTGCACTTCAAATTTCCTCCTCATTTCTTCAAGCTTTCGCCGAAAGTAACCGACAATCACCTTAATGCTACTGCCCTCTACTGCTTAAAGATCAGGGACAGGGAAAAAACTCCGACATGGTATTAGTTCTTGACTGAGGAACTTGAATAAAGAATTTTAGTATTTTTAAATATAGAACTTTTCAATTAGATGCATTAAATGAAAATTAAGAACTGTGGAAGACGGTTCTTTCCTCTGTTTAATAATATATTATTATTGAAGTTGTTACTATTGATAGAAACTGCAGGATCTATTCCAAAGGCGTAGTAAAGGCAATTAAAATGCATATTTAGAAAATATATTAAACAGCTTCTTTCCCAATAAACTGACATCTGCAAAATGCATAAAAGTGAGCAGAAGCCGAGTATGTCAACACATCTCTGTTTGTATAACTGAAAATCACGCTCGAGTTATGAACTGAATTGGTCCTTAAAAAACTGCGGCGCCCTCACGGAAAAGCAAGGTGTGAAAATCTCCGGGATGGTCAGGGGGTGAGCAGGGATACAAAACCCAGATGTTAACAGAGTTGGTTACAGGCTGTCCCATAGGTTTGTAAATAATTTCCTCCACAAACAAACCTGTTTTGATTTTAGTTTAACCCACTCATAAATAAGATTCACTGGGTATTAGGGGGAATTACTAGAACTTTTTTGGGTTTTTTTTCCCCTGAACGTCTGGAGCCATTCTCCCCCTTTTCCATCCCGCTCCGATGTAACAGCTTCCCCGCCAGCGCAGCCTGCAGCGGCCAGGAACAGGACAGCTGCTCCAAACGCAGGCGATGAGGTCAGATCTCCTCCTGAGCTGGGCTACAGGGCGCACGATGCGTATTGAAACCAGATCCGAGGGAGACATCACATTCACACTCCTCCCGAGGACACGAACGACAAACCCTCACTGGTCTCCTTCTCGCACACGTCTATACCCCGACCTTCCCCACCCAACAGCAGTACCCCGCAGCACTCGTGTCTGCCCTGTTTCCTCCATCACTGCAGCGGTTTTCCAAGAACATCTTTTCCGGTCGTGGATTCGTATGCCCTGATACGCTCACTACACACGAGGATGCCTTTCTGCAGCTTACTCGGTGAGCTGCTCCACGGCCCCGTGCCTGCGCTCTCCCAGACCTCAGAGCTGCCGTAAAGCCCAGAGCAGCAAGGTCAGAGAAAAAGTTCAGGAAAAGATAATGCACTCGCTGCTCCATGCAAACCCCTCACTGAGCAGCAGAAACACGTGCTACTGATGCGATCCCCGCTCTCTGTGTGTATGTAACCCCACCGCTACGGACGGATGGGTCTCACTGCACCGCTTCAATTTCAAACTATCTGGAAGAGACTGTGTCTGCAACTCTGTGACACACTTCTTTCTTGAAACCTGAAGCAGTTCTGCATGTTTACTTCACATGCAGACAGTAAAAAGACCGACACTACACCAGCAATTTACAGCAGCCAGCTTCTTCCCGCTAAACCTGTACATGCTGTTTGTTCTGGATTCTCCTGCTGCTTCTACCTTACCTACAGACACCGAGTCTACGTGAATTAAATGCTGCCACTGCTATTAATTTTTTTGTTCATTGAGCAGAACAAATTGTCAGCTCTCCAGGAATACGTATGATCATATTTGAGATTTTAAAGTGCATTAACTTTTTGATTTAAGAACTGAGGCCATTAGTTGAAGACCATTTGCTTGGTGTCATTTCAATTAATTTCTAAATTGGAGAAACACTGCCTGTGAGAATGTAAAAAAACCAGTGTCTAAAACGCAGAACCAAGGAATGCCAAACTACTGAAACTGTCCTGTTCTATCTCTTTATACCCCACGTGTGTTTCTGAACACGGTGGCACTGCGTCAGCCTGTCTTGCGCAGGACACACACTGAACACCTCCGGGATGCAGAACACTGACGCTCAAAGGAAGGACAGAGAAAGAAGGGCAGGTAATCAGAGGAAAGAAACATTCTGGTAATTCTAAGTATAAAATGCAAAGTCCAAAAAAAATTCCCCCTCGTCCATGGCTTCAAGTGTTAGTTAACATGAAGTCTAATTATATTTGCAGTTTGGTATTTTTATTAAACGTGTGCTGAAATATGAACCTTTCAGCTAATAGAACACATGTGTAGGTAGAGAGTGTTCTTATTGGCGTGATTTCATTAGTTCCACAAACAATGATGCCAGAAAAACAAGATCTAAAATTCAGTGCAAATACCAGGAGAGACAATTCAAGACAGGGGGAAAAGTGAAAATCAGTAACTGGCAGCATTCTGCAGAGAGGCTAGTATTTATGACTAGCATTATCAAGCTTAAAACATATCTATCACTTTGGAAATTTTACTGATAAAGTTTCACAGCAGATTTATACCATTTCATATGAAGTTAACAACTCTATGCTTTGCAGTCCCAGCTTCTTGTAAACCTTTGAGTTGTGGTTCAGAGTGAAAGCCTGCATCAGGTGGCAGTACTAAACCTCCTCTGAGCAGAGAGAGTACCTGGGGACATATGGTAAGCGTATGATAACACAGGGAAACAGCAGCATGAGATGAATTTTCAAAGGGAATATTTAGCAGGCAAGCTAAGATCTAATCCCATTAATAAGTATATATTAGTCCACTAAGGATATTTGATAATTGAAGTCTCCAAGTGCCACGTTATTCACTTCCCTTATTATCAAAATTCTTGACTGTTGCTTGGCAGCACGGACTAGCGTACAAAACACAAGAGGAAAAAGCCCCTCTCCTGCAAAGTAACGGACAGGTGGGAAAAGTACAGAAGTCTCTTTGATCACAGGTCTTGTACAGATGATTGCAAGCTACTGGATTGTTATGACTTACACTACCACTGAACCGTATCGTATGACAGGTTTTTGTGCTCTTATCCCACTACACGTGCCAAGGAAAATGTATTACTTTCAACTTCCATTCTTAAATCACTAACACGTTTTCGTTTAACTCATTTTCCTTTGCGATTTTTATCAGCTAATAGCTGAAAAAACGGTCACTTAACACAGATCAGCTGATGAGCAGAAACCAGTCGGGCCACAGACCTCTCCTCTACCCCCTGGAATAACACACCCGCAGAGCTGTTTGCAAGGGATCATGTGAGTGCTGCTCATCCGCTGCAGAGCAAAACAGCCCCACGTGAACTGCTGGGGAAGGTTTCAATAGCTAACGCTGAAAGGAGATAAAAGTCCCCTAAATATTTGCTTGCTCCTATTTTTTCAGTCCACTGGAACATGGTAAAGCAGCAGATGCTCTTGGAGGAGCTGGCGGGTCCCTGTGAGTCCGCACAGATGCCAGCTGAAGGGTGACAACGCCTGGCTGTTGGCTCCCAAGAGAAGGCAGTTACTCTTTTGCACCACTTAGTTGCAGTTAGTTAAAAAAAAAAAAAAAAACTGGATGCTGAACTGATTTCCTGCATACACATGTACAGCCACAACCACTCAGCCAGACCCAAGACGATCCCACCCATCCCACGGCTGGGTGATGTATGAAAGGACTCAGCTCTCCCTGCCTGTCATTGGGGGTTTCAGGAAATAGGGTCACCCCAGCACTTCCCTTAAAACCAGCATGAACTCACACCAATGCTTTAAACTACAGTCTTTGGTTCTATTTAAGAAAGAGAGATGCAATTTGTGGAATACTTGTTATGGATAGATATTCCAAGGGGAAAAATAATGGTACTAGGGTATAATTTTTAAAAAGCATAACTTAATCTACATGCCACTCTCAGAGAGACATAACACCACCATTATTAGTCTCTTAAGATGATGTGATTGGGACAGCAGCATTTCACAAAGGGAAAAATAACAGTAATTACTGAAATAAAGGTTCTGACGTGTCTCCAAAAATCACCTTTCCTAGTCTCACTTCTGTGAAGGTACTTCTGATTAAAGTCTCCATAAAGAACACTTAAGTGTTTATTGTCATTTTTGAACACAAGTGAGATCATTTCCCCACACATATACTGTATGTGGTCAGAAGTTCAGAGCACTGGTACCTTCTCAAGGGCTTTAAGAACCTCCACGACGTGAGCCTTTTCAGTCCAGGGCAGTGTTCAACTTCCAGCCATATGTCTCACAACTTATTAATATTCAACAGGAACAAAAAAAAATTCATAACACATTTATTCAAGTGGCGTGGCTAGAAAGCTTCTTACAGGAATATTTTTGTGCTGTGGATATTTTAATATAGCTCAGCATTCAGTAAAGTGTCTGAGATCAAATGTTAGCAATTTTGCTGACACCTGACATGGAAATTCTGCTAATTTAATCACTTATTGACTCATCACTCAAAGTAAAAGCTTCTTTTTCTTACCTCATGTATGCATAAGCACCTAATAAAGCCATCTTATCAAAAAGAACAAAAGCAGATGTGAAAGATCTGCTTCTCCCAAGACAGCCATATAATGAAAAAATAGCTGCTTAAACCTCGGCAATAAATGTTCTTAGGTTTCGTGGAGTGCAGTCCACATCTGGCCACAGTGACAGCCGATAACAGAGAAGGGAACATACCGTACACAATATGATCTGTCCGGTTAGCGAACGTACGAGTCAGAGGCCAAATACAAGCAGGTATAAAACACAGGGAGAAAAGATCTTCCCGGAGTAGTGAAATAAGCTCGGTCAAATACTTTGAATCCACAGACAAAATACTTAGCTTACATTTTATCATTTTGCAAGTTGTTTATTTAAAGAGAAAGACCAGAACAGATTTTGCTCTTTGAAACGGACACTGATAATGTGAGATCATCCCAACTGCAACATTCATTTTAAAGAGCAAAGTAAAATGCTGCTTAAAACTCAGTTCTGTTCCTACCTGCCCATCCTGACCCACGTGAACTTGATGTATCTGCAGGTTTCCCTGGAAGATAAGAGCACTGACATTAAACACAACTTTGGAATTGAAAGAGTTGCTCCATCCTGAAAAAGGTCTGTTTCTCATCTCATTATGAAACAACTTCAATATTAAGGAGATCTATTAATTTAGGAAATTCTGCTGAGGGTTACTTTGGCAATCCAGCTACAATTCGATGGTCAGCACTTTGACCACAGAGGATAAACAGATGAAAAAGTTAGGAGGTGTTTCAGCACCAGCATGCTTTGCTTTTTGGAAGTTAACGTACAGTATTTTTATGCAAAGTTTGTTTATATGGCTTTTGAGGTGAGATCTTTGTTTTTCCTTACTTACATAAAACTACAAATTTAAGTCAAACCTTTCCTAAACTAGAATTAGCCATGTAAAATTTTTACTGTTTGCTGTTATACAGTTACTGCCTGGGCTAACAGATTATTTTTTTTATTTTATCAAAATTCAATAAAGACCAACGTAGTTCCATTACAGGAATTATGTCTCTTACAAAAAATCCTCAATAATGTAAAGTATTTCAAAGGAAATGGTAGCAACAAAGTCTAAAAAGGAAAGTAGTATCTTTACAAAACAAAGTTTCTATTCATACGCTCAGAGATGTCTTTTCAAAAGTACACGTAGACTGAGAAAAAACAGCTTCCCCCACACAGAGAGCTGCAGTGAAATAGCACATTTCTTTGAGGAAAAAATACCAATTCTTTGATTTGCATGTTTTCTGCATTTTCTCTTTCTGGCAGCACTTCCTCTTATTTGAAGCTATGTACATTGTAATAAATTTAAAACCAGATGTTTTCATCTGTCACGGACAACTGCAGTCCTTAAAAGTCTTACAAACGGGAACTTCAGAGGAAGCCAATGGACACCGGGGTGTGCTTGAAGCTCAGGATCAATTACAACTAGTATTTGCTGAATCATAATTTTTCCAGTGGCTCTTTACCCAAGACCAGCTTCAGTTTTATTGTTGCACACTATCCGTTCCTTTAGACCCAGAACATTTTGATCCTTTCTTATTTCTCTCTAGGTCTGACAAGCTCTTCAAAGGAGACTGCCTTTAACTGTAATATTTATATAATATCTACAATAATATTTATTCTACAATAGCTCCCTGTGTTAACAGTATTCCTCCACACCAAAGTGGTTTTATGAGATGTGATTTAGGGTACTTTGGAAATGGATTAAACTAACCCACAAGCAGATACACTTGAGTAAAAAAACTCCACAGGGAAATCACACAGATTAAAACTGTAGTCTGCATTTATGTTTAACATGATTTTCTTTTCCTTCTCCATGCAAAACAAGTGCACAAGAACTCCTAACAGCAGTTGGGAGTCTCTATATGTTCTTAAATAACCACCAATAGCACTCTCACTCGGGTAAACTCGGCTGGCGTTAATGGCTGTTCTGCCTGAGTGCGGGGGGGAAAGTCAAAATCAGAGGGTTCAGTACTGGGTTTATCCATTTCCATTCTACTGTACTGTTTTTACGGAAAAAATTATCAAGGGCAAATACTGCAGTGCCAGATTACTCGACCAGTAACAGAGGTAAGGTCACTTCTTGCTGCAATAAATCTTTACTAGATGCTGTCTGAAGGTTTCTCCAACTCCTGTTCAACAGTTCCCACAATTAAAGACACTGAGTACTCTGAACACATTTAGCTCATAAACCTAACTCAAATAATTTCATTTCTCCATGGCAGTGCAACCACCTAAGCTGGTTTCCTGTAACACTCTGTAAGAATTAAATTTTCCATGAAGGCCATCAGCCATATACAACAATCGTTAGTGTAACACGCACAGAGAGCTGGCTTGGCTGGTCAAGGGAAGGGAAAAAAAAAAATCAAAACACCACACATGCTCTCAGTTCTACCCGCACTGGTCTCTGTATTGTATCGTAGCAGATCTCAGAGGTACGGGTTTAGAATCAGGGCATTATGGTCTGGCCAACATCTGCTCCACAGGCACCCGAACTTTTGGCTCACCTCGCTGTCCTGCGTGATTTGGACTTGCTCGCCTTGAGGAACCTGGGCTATGTGGAGATGGCCCTGTGGGATCCGCAACAAAGAAAACACCAAGGAGCATCAGAAGAAAATTGTAACTAGAAGAAGCAGCTATTACCTTGGATTCAATACAGCTTAACGTGATCCAATACAGCTTAACGTATGGAAGCAAAATGCTTCCTCAGGGAGAACCATTAAAGACAGCTTTAAAAAAAATAAAGTGCATCCACATTTCTCCATCTTTTTATGCAAAGTATAAGCAGAGTGACTTTGAAAGAAATAAGGGTTCATTTTTGCATAAGAGGAAAGAAAATAGGCACAATAATAAATACCATTACGTAGTGCATTTCTCTGTAGACAAAGTGTCTGCATTTTTGACTGACACACAAAGAGCGGGGCTAACTTGCTTTGGTAGATGAGCATTGTGCCTGAAACATTAATTTAATTTAAAGACCTTAGAAATTCAGTTCTAAAACCAGAGACACCGAGACTAAGAGTGAGGTTTTAAAAGGTATCTCTAAGTATCCTTAGATCTTTGTACATTCACGCAGTTCTGGTGAGCCACCCTGCTAACAGCTATATCCCAAGCTGCTATAAACTGGCGTGAAGGCATCAATATGACTGCAGGTACGCTGGTTTATGGTAGCAGGGAATCTGCCCAAGCAGCTTTCATAATGGTAATACTTTGTATTGCTGACCATACCCCCCACTTCAAGCCTAGCATTTGATCAAAACAGGGATAAGAGGGTGGACGCAATTCCTCGCGCATCCTGACTAGCCCAGCGAAGTCTTTGCTACTGTGATTTACCTGAAGGGAGATTGGATTCTAAATAACCTACTTCAGGGTTTATAAGGCTTTGTGTTCATTTTAATATGCCTGCATGAGCCAGAGATTAAAGATAATCATTTGGAATTCTGTCAAAGGCTCTTCCTATTTTATAACACAAGAACAATTGCATGTGATTTTCAAAGAAACACAGATCCCTCTATTTCAAACAGTTTCATTTCCTTTGGAAGGAAACTGTCTATTTATAGGGAGAAAAAACATACTGAAAGTATCCTTCTGACAATAGGGACTGTATATAAAATTAGAGCACAGCCCAGCCCACGTTGAGATTAGAATCACTTTCCCTCCTTAACATCAAGCTCTCAGGGCTCCCAGGAAAAAGCACTGAACATTTAAAAGATCCATTTATAGGGTTTTCAAATATAAGCAAACCTTTCTGACCAAAGGGAGGGGACAGAAGGTGACTTTATTCACCTTTGTTATCATGCAGCATTCCAAAAAAGAACTGCTCACTCATCTTTCGCAGGTACATAGCTGGCCAGCACCGACAGTCCTTGCAGTTTGTTCACAAATTCAATTCAATACTGATTTTTTTTAAAAAATATATACACAGTATAAATAACTACTACCTTACTAATGACTGTTGTGGGTCGCAGTGGATTTTTCCCAGATTCCACAATCAATTTAAAGGATAGTTGACAGGTCCAGATCTTTTAATGAGGTGAACTTTCATACTTACATCTGCAAACATAGCTGCTTTGCCTATCACAGCCGTGCATCTCATAGCATTGTGCCTGCTACATTGTCTTTCAAAACTCGAAAAACACTTTTCAGTCATCAATTACATCTCATAAAAAGATCTGAACAGCAGTCAAGAAGATGTGCTTGTTGAAATAGATAGGGAAACCAAGAGACAAAGAAATTCATAAGATAATACTGTAAAATTATGGCAAAAGTGCAGTTCCTGCAGAAAGAGCACGGCTTCACTGAGGATGCTCCCAATTGACAGGAGAGAAAAAAAAGTTTGCAAGTTAATTTATTGAACTTCTGTTTAGTCCTCTTCCAAGTTTGAGAATAGTAACTCAAAGCCTTTAGGGGCCAGTTCCACGAAGCACTCACTCTCCAGATTTATCTCCTCAACTTCCATTTAAGCCATATGGAAAACAAAAGGGGTGACCTGGACTTTCCAGCCCTATCTGCATCCCACAGCTACTGGTTCCTAGCATCCCTCACATCCACACTCCAGCTTTTCCTCTTCTCAGACTTTATAAGCAACCTTCTTCACTTTGGAAAAACGTGCTCCCTGGTGCAGTTTCCTCTCCACAACTCTCACAGTTGCTGGCTGGACTTCCTCTCCATCACTTTCATCTCAAACCCCTTCCACTTCCATGCACTCCTTAAAAAATATTCAGGCTAATATTAAAGTCCTCCTCTCAAGGAATGCGTACAGCTCTGTCAGATGCCTTCTATACTGTGCCACACACCTTGAAATTCTCCCCAATGTCCACGACACTTCCCCTCTGATTCTTCTACTGCTGCTCCAGTAACGCTTCAGCAAACGTTACAGCCATGTCTTTTCTGATAACATTCCAAGAACATCTGCCCTTCCTAGCCATTTTTTCTTCATCACGCTTCTGAGCAACTTCTCCCTTCCCACGCTGACAATCTGCAGCTCTACGTGACCAGACTCGAGTATTCCCTGTGTCGAGAGAGAGTTTTGAGCCTTCCCGTGTCAATTATTCAATTGGGCAGAGGTGCTTCTCCCGGCGCTGCCTCTCCTACTTGGGGAGAGAATACTATCAATACCAGGAATAAAGATTCTTCATTATCCTCTTCTTCGCAATGGCACTGACTAAAACCTGTGCAACAGTCACACCACTGGGTACTACAGTTTATCATGTTGGTTATTTGCCTGTTTCCACCTGTTTCTTCAGCCTGGTCTCTAAGGAATGTGGGCTTATGCGATCAGCACGCAGAATGGGTGCATACGAGCCCGTGCACGTTTTTTTCTGAGTGCTGGCCCATACCCAGATTTGTGTGTGCCTTCAGAACACTAATACCATCAGGGGAAAAATGTCAGTCTTATATGACTGTGCATAAAAGCCTGAAGCTGTTGAAAACTAGCGGCAGACAGGTTTCACACATTAGCTTCTCAGTTTTCTACCACTAAAGAATGAGTGTGCAGATATAATTCACTATTTCTGAATGCTGCATGTGAGAAATGCCACACAATCCATTATTTCAAGGTTTTCTTCTATTTTTAAAAAAAACCTGAATTTAAAACAATCCTTGTAGTCAAACTGTGGCGCACAGGAACTAACGCAAAGGTGAGGTTTTTTTCCAGTACACTAAAACCATATATAAAAATAATCATGGCCTGAGTTATGGTAGGAGTCTCAGGCTTAAAAAATGTCAATATTTATAACTTTTACTTCTATACATGTATTTAAGTGAATACACATGTAAAGGATTCAGCTAACAGATGTTCCAAAATGCCTGAGAATGCAAGTCTTTAAAAAGGAAAATAAATAAATAAAGAAATGCATTCTCATTTGGAAAGTCGTAGCTAGAACTACCTCTGAGGTGTAAATCACAGGATTAGCAGGTCTGCTGTTATTGCTATGGCAAGGGAGAGACTAGTCAATTCCATACACAGTTATCAATGTGCATTTATTTGCAACAATTGCGTGAGCAAACCTGCATGAAGATTTTTTTCCAAATAACTAATTTTTTTTCATAAGCCTTCAACGTTTATTTTCTGAAAATCATGCTTAAGGGATGATAGGTCACTTTTTTAAAATAAAAAAGTTGCATTTCAACTGAAGCAAAGTTTGCAATAATCTAGATTGGTTAAATGGAAAAAGTTGAGTACATACTACTTGGACTTGTCCATCTTCTCCTATTTGGTGGATCTGGACCTGCTGAGCATTGGCTAGTGCGTAGTGCAGCGCCTGCGGCTGGTTCTGCTGCATCTCGTTAGCAGCTGAAACTGAACTCTGCGAACCCTCTGGAAGAAAAAGACAAAAATCCAGCTTTATTATGTGTATATCTCGCACCAGTGGCCATGCACCAACGCATACTTAAGCTGTGGAAAACCAATGCAGTCCGTGAGCAGATGGAGATCATCTATACATTCATATTCTTATGCATGTTCATTGCTCACCTGTCCACTGGCTACAAATTCCAAAGGAGTACCAAAGGCTATTTTATCTCTGAGAAAGCATTTGTTTAAAAGCCTTCTTTTGAATCTAGATTAAAGATTCTACAACTGTAAAAGTCGTATCACAGCAAAACCACATACATTTCCTAAGCAGCTGTGAGCCTGTGTAGACCACCACCACGAGGATGCCTTTGAAAATCCATCCTGGAAATTGAAACTATCATATAAATAAAGGATATCTCTCAATTGTTTTGCAAAATCAATCATCTATAATTCATACTGATACACAAGCCTGGATTTTATTTTTTTTTAACCTCAAAACGGCAGGTTGATTTCTTGACTTGGATGAATTTAAACTCTACCTCACACTGCAAAGTCCAGCCTGCTGAAAATGCCCCAGCAAAAAAAAAAGAAGACACCAGGTGTCATCTGTGGGTAGCAGTGACAGCCATCAGGACAACCACTGCATGATTTCAAGAGGATAACAACTTGCATTAGAAGCAGACATACCATAGATTCGTTTGTAGGATTTCCAGCTGCAGGGAAAGGATTCTTGTAAGAGGCAAAAGGCAAAATTTATTTTTTTTTTTTAGCATAAAAGCACTCAAATACTTTTTTCTTTTGAAACACGACTTTTTGATGCATGTGGTGTCAGTGATACTGAGAGACTAAAAATGGCAATAATTCTGTACAGAAAGGGGGAAATGGAATACAACGGACCAGCGACTAACGCTATGTATGGGTCTTCCACAGACTGAGACCCCACTGGCAGGTAAATGTATCACCAGACACCATTCAGCATCAGTACGAGTTTGCATCCTCTTTTCAGTTTGAGACATCTTGGAGAACAGGACTGTCAGAAAGGGCTTTCAGAATCATGTTTTTGAAGAAATACTTTTTACATACAGTATTTCTGTAAACAATTTTATAATTTTTCTTTTGCTATGCCACAAAAACACATTGAATTACAGCTCTGAAGCATTAAGTGTTTTACAATTTTTCTCAATTATTTATTGCTCCGACAGTGACTTTTATGCTACAAGGTAACGTAAAACACATTAACATCAAACACGTAGGAACACTCAATACTACAGGGCTTTCAAGCTGTCCAAGTACTGGAAACTCGAATGAAAATATTTAAGAAACATTGTCACTCTACTTCCATTGTAGATCATTGCCTTACAAGATTTTATGTATTGCTTAAAGAAGCACTAGATGGGCTTCATCCTGCTCAGAGACAACTGGTGGCTGATACATTTTGATTTTTTTAAATGATGGTTGGTTGTTTTGAACCAACACAGCAGGAAGCCATGTTTCATAAACTGTTAATACCTCTACTTAGTACTCTAAGATTTATATTGAAAAAAGATTTTTTTGTTTTGCAAGAATGTGCTTTATCCACTCATACAAATATTTTAATGGAAATGTTCTTTAATAAAATCATCCATTTGTGTTTTTTTCATCCTGTCTGCAAATGCTTGCGGAAGAAGAGAATTTTGAGTTTTAAGTCTAGACGTGGGAACTGGAAACTAACTCAAAACCACTAAGCTAGTATTTACTTATTTGTTGAAAAGTTTAGTTGCTTAACAATTCAACTAGACAGCTCTAATTATGTTAACAATCTGCAAATACATAACTACAACCAGAACACTTACGCACTAACCGAGCAAAACAAAACATGTTTGTGCTGTCTATCGGACATATATCTTTAATACCTTACATTTAACTGGTAACTAACTGCAGAAAACTTATAATTTCTTAAATATAGTCCTGTTGGTTACTGTCCAATTCCAGTATTTCCTGCGCTGTTGTACAATGCAAGTTTGCTCTACAGAATTCCAGATGGGATTAACAAATCACAACTGGCAGTGGAGTCCTGTACCTAGCATAAGAAACTGCACCACGAGCAAAATAAAAATGTGATTTGTTCAGATTCTGACACTAGGTGATGGTTTCCTTTGCCAGTGGCTTTGTCACGGTCACTGAACATAAAATATATTCTAGAAAGATCGTTGACCTAAGCCTCTTTGTCTTTCACTTCTTCTCTCATTTCCATTACTTCAGTCCTAATAATATTTCATGCAATTAATTTCCTGTATATTTTATTTTACAAATAGCGTTTTGTTAGGATACTCAATGGCAAAGAACGCCCGCTGCTACTCATCTTGCTTCTTACAGGCTACCACCAGTCCATTCCCTTGCGATTCTGTCTTTCCATCACGCTTCCCACAAGCGAGGTAAGACGTGTGTTTGCTGACAGATCTAATAACCTTCTAGCAGTAGAACACTTACCATTACACACACTGCAGTGCTGGACTTCTGAGAAAACATGAAGATGCATTTATAGGGAGTATTTTCCTTCTGATTAAGTTACGCAATAAGAGTATCACTGCTATATGAGGTGCAGCAGATAAAAATGTATAATTACGTATATAACCACATATCGAAATACATTTCTAACCGTAAAGTCCAAAAGCCTGTATTTCTAAAGCATTTTTTGCTTCACAGATGCCAGAAATTATTACGCTTTTCAGAGGTGGGAACAGGAGGCACAGCCTGAATGCAATCATACTGTACGTCTCGCGCGGTCACTTATAAATAGATTTCAGTTTGGCTTCACTGCAACAACCACAGTTGGGTTTTTCTTTCTTTTTTTTTTTTGTTGGATTTTGGTGGGGGTTTTTCTTCTTAGGAAGAAAGAAGAGGATTCAACAGTGTCTAAAAACAAAACATCTTTTATAAGTGTTTTTTCTCCTCTAAATCTCTGACCAGACAAAAGTAATATTTATCCATTTTTAAACATTCTCCATTAAAAACAAACACAAACGTGAATAGCACACAGCTTGAATGGAGGATATGTCAACAGTTATAAATCACTATCATGTAAACTATCTAGCCTCACATTTACAACTTTGATATATTAGAGATCCCTGGCATCGAGAAGCCATACAGCTGAACTTCTGCTTTGAAACTTTCCATTGCACTGGTTATAGGGACAAAGGGGCACTCTGACATGAACCGAAGAGCTTACGGAGCGTGACTGCTGGGCACGTTATCCGCGGCATTCCCAAATCGAAGATGCTGCACTGACCATTCCACAGGTTATCAAGGTGTGAATACAGAGGGAAAAAAAACCAACAATGGACTGCTGAAATAAGCCTTTCTCTCAAGTTGAAATTGGACCTTTTATATTTTTCATTTGTTTACTGCATGTGATTACGAGTCAAAGACAACTTAGCCTAAATGAGTCTGTCTTCTCGGACGAATCATAGAATCACTACGGTTGGAAAAGACTTCAAGGATCATCAAGTCCAACCCACACCACCCAACCCACTAACCCATGTCCCGAAGCACCACATCGACACGTTTCTTGACCCCCTCCAGGGATGGTGACTCCACCACTGCCCTGGGCAGCCTGTTCCAATGCCTGATCAATGATGAAGAGTTGGCAAAATCACCCCCACCGAAGCAATCACCTGTCACACCTCTCAAAGCTAATCTTCCTCAGACATTGCCAAGCAAGATTAGATTTGTCAGACAACTGTCATTTCTAACTGTTTCAGGAATACGTATGTTTAATTCTCAACTCAGATCAGTTTTAAAATTCCTCACTTCAAAGGCAAAACCTTTGGCATTTTCTTATTCTTTCCTATTCTACTTCACATTTATCAGCCGAGCATCCGGCTTCTTGTTTTGGAAGGAAATACAGGAGGTACAGATCCTGTAGCAGAGGAGATTCATGCTTAGTCTCCTTTTATGTTGCTATTCACAATTGTTTTCCCAGCATACAGGCCTCCCAGCCTCACACTTCTGCTTACAGACGAGGATGGATTTCCTTGCTTCCTCGATGTGCAGCCCTAGCAAGGAATGCTTAATGGGCAGACAGACCAAAGCAGTCCTCAAAAACAAAAAGCAGGAAAACCACCACTACTAAACAATTAATAGAAATAAAACTGTATACTGTAAACTATTATCTCAACCTGACTCATCCAGGGCTAAATGCCTCCAATTCTGCAGAACAGCTTTGAAGATTTGGCAGCACATTCATTTTGATATGTGACATCTCGGCAGAGGCTGAGCACTTCAGCCTAAATCTACATATAAATCCCAAAGTCATAGAACTAATTAAAAATTCCAACATGGAAAACTGTGATAACAGCTTTAACAATCTTAAGAGAAATTAAAAGAAAGGGAGAAGGCACTCTTCAATTAATCCTCCTCCCAAAACCTCATTTCCTACTGCCTTCCCTCCATAGACTGCGAACGTTTTTAAAAAGAAGATCTGGTTAAATTATCATGGCAGCCATGTGTTCCACTTGTCAGAAAAAAACCAAGAGAAAAACACACATTAAGGACAGAAGTGCTGGCTCTGAGAAGAGCAGAGCAAACCACCGCAACGAATACCTCGATTCCAACAAAAGGCAACAGCTTCAAACAGAGGAGCCAGATGAAATAAAATAAGGAAAACCAACTTCTGCTTCAATATGTCTGCTACAACAAGTTTATGCAACCCATAAATCTCGTGGCTACTGTAAAGCTGTAGAGTCAATTAAACGTAGAACAATCTCAATTAATATCTTTGGAGGTGAAGGACAGAGAAGAGATTTTCATTCCGGTTTTCCTACCAGCTTCCTTAGTCATGTTTTTGTTTGCAGACCAGTTCCTCTCGAGCTCCTAACACTTGAACACTATCACAGATTTACAACGCCAAAAACTTGGGAGGCTACATAAGGACTACGGGCTCAGCCTCCTGCTTTTCTGTGTCATTTGCATAGCTAATTTTTCCATAAGATAAACCGAGCAGAGGGGAAATCTGTTACCATTTTTGACTGCACGACTCAAAGTTGATGCAGCATGTGGCTTTGATTGTATGCACAACAAGCAGAAAAAGCCTCAACGTTTTGACATGTCCAACAAATACATCAGAATGAAGCTCAAGAATAGCAATCCCCTTCAGACAACGAATAATTCTGAATTATTTATTATGTGCGAAGTAACTCACAAAAATCACAAAATCACAGAGTAGATGAGGTTGGAGGTGACCTCTGGAGATAACTAATCCAAAGCCCTTCCCTCAAAGCATGGGCAACCAGAACCGGTTGCTTCTGACTGCGTCCAGGTGGATTTTGCCTGTCTCCAGGGATGGGGTCTCTGCAGCTTGGCTGGGCAACCTGTTAACTGTGATCAAGCACCCTCAAAACTCCCTAGAGCCAGAGAAATCAAAGTCAGGTCACAGCCAGATTAGTTTCAGGCTGCTATATATATATACACACACACATTTTTTAATGAGGCAAATTAATTGCTGCTAAAAAGCAGCTCTGGAAAATCAAGTCCACTAATTCACAGGGGAGGATGCCCAGCAGGGCACTGCCCATGCTGATTTGAGACTATTTCAGGACTAACAAAAATATTATTTTTAATGATATGCAGAGATGTTCAACAATTTTCACTGCCAAACAGAAAATACTGAGTTATTCTAGACTTCTTCTAGCATAGCAGCATTTAAGAAAATATTCTCTAACACACAAGAGAACAGTGTTCCTTTGCAACACTTGAAGGAAGTGCCAATAAATTTCTGCTGATTGAAACATATATTATTATACTACAACATAACAGCTATTTTGCTATTATCATCTCCTACAGATAGCTGATGAAAACTATTACTTCAAGCTAAGCAAACACAGCAGTTTCAGATTTGAGCCTTTTTTTTTGTTGCACCTCTTGGTCACAACTTTAATATGAAATACTACAATCACAAAGTTCAGAAGTGGAAAAACCTTAGCAAACTGTGGAAAAAGTTGATACAGGGAACGTGATGTTCATTCATTCACGCTCAGGACATTGAAATCATATTGAAACCGCTTAATGATGTTTTGAGCACAGCTCAGCTGCATGGCAGACGCTGTGATGCTATGCCTCTACTCAAGGCATGTGGTGATGGCAACAGTGCATCTTTAAAGAAGTGCTTTCTGAAGACTATGGGAATATCTTGTAAGGTAAGCCCTAAAACTTCCCTAGGAAATTATCATCATAGAATCACAGAATCATAGAATGGTTTGGGTTGGAAAGGACCTTAAAGATCATCAAGTTCCAACCCCCCTGCCATGGGCAGGGACACCCTCCACTAGACCAGGTTGCAAAGAATCAGTGGGTTTAAGCACTTCCACAGACAGCTTAGGTTTCTCATATTTAACCTGGTAAAAGGGGGGAGTATGTGTCCCCCCACATGGCATCATGTGAGAGTGCTTTCCTGCCGCACATGTGCAACACCACTGGTGTCTAAACCACCAGAGAACCTGACACACGTACCTGAAGGTGCTCAGTGACCTGCCCTGACCAGTCACTGACCCATGCTCTACCAAATTTCCTTATCAAACTAAATCATTGTAGCTTCTTTTGACAGAAGTTGCACAGTCTTATGCCGAGTGGAGCCAGAGCTTCCCAGAACAGCTCAGATCTGGCCCATGAGGACATCATACAAGAAACCACGCTGCATACCCCCACATCCTTCCCAGTGGAAACACGACACGGGAGCCACTCACAATCTTTTAAGAGCCCCCCCCTTTTTTTTTTTTCCATTCCATCTCTTGTGAGAAGCAGCTGCTATATTCCACCCAACAGATAAACAACTCGAAAGCCTGTTAGATGTGAACTGACTTGCAGTAACGCATTACTCGGTGAAAGCAAACACAGGTATTCTGCGGAGAGCAGCAACCACAGCTGGGTGGGGACCTGACACAAAGCACCCGCCGCTGATCTTTAATGGCTGTAACTAACAATAGCGGGAGAGACAGTTTCTCAAGTAGCTGAATTCCAAACCGTTCAAGGCTCACCTTAAATTGCTCCCTGAAATAAAGGCTACCATAAAAACTGTCTGGGTTCGTAAGTAACATTTTAAAAGGCCATATTTGACAGCTATGTTGTCAGAACTGTGAAATACAGACCTTCTTTGCTTCAGAGCTGGGAAATACTGCCTCTCCATCCTGCGATTCCTGCTCTCTCCACTAGACAGTGTGTCTAATACGGAACAGATGCCTGTGAATTATGAGGCTGTAATTCCACTGAGGGGTTCCAGGGATGTCAAACCACAAAGGCAAGGTCTGAGCGGCTCATGAAGTTACCTGCACAGAGCGGTGGAATTACAGCCCCTCATCATGCAAAAGTTACCCTCTTAAACATGTGTGAACCTACGTTTTTTCCTCGCATCTTTTCTTTTCCCTTATATGCTCATTCAGCCTCTCAATCCACTCTCCCATTTTTTCTCATACCTCCTCTTCTTTCTTCAGGTGAAATACTGCTCCCACCTGATTGTGGAACACAAATTAGTTTTTCAAAGGACCACCTGATTCTGAGAAGTGGTCTGGTTTTCTAAGAGCCTTTTCCCAGTGGGTGTGAACGTACTGGTGAGTTCATCTAACATCTTTACAGCCTCCTAGAAAACGATGCCAATGACATTCTGAGTGAGAGCAATACTTGAAAGAAAATTAACAAAAGACTCCCGAATCCATGGGAACATTTTCACATACCGTTACCTTTACAGCCTCCTAGAAAACGATGCCAATGACATTCTGAGTGAGAGCAATACTTGAAAGAAAATTAACGAAAGAAACCCTGAATCCATGGGAACATTTTCACAAACCGTTACCAAAGGCAGCTGTTAATGTTATTGCCGGTACTCTACTTTTGGCCGCACAGTCTATACACACAGTCCTGCCAAATGACATGCTAAGGTGCCTCAGCTAACCTTCATCATCTTCAGGACCAAAGACATCTTTCTAAGGACGTGCACACACCTCTTTGCTATCAAGGGGACTTGGCAGATGAGATACCCTGCACAGTGGGAGACCCAGGTGGCGTAACAACTGCTGGGGAAACCAAAGGCAGCCAGCTCCGCTCCAGCAGAACGAGCTACCTTGGGCACACAGCCCAAAACACCAAGGTGGCTCTTGCAGAAGTGTCTGTACCCCAGTACCCCCGCCTGCTCAGATAATCCCAGGAGTTAATCCAGGTGTCTTTGTACCCACGGAGCAATTTACTCACCAATCAGGTTAGTGGAACTGGGGGAAAAACCCGAGTTTACAGCTCAACCACAACAAAAATAACCCAGCAAAACTTATCATCTTATCTCCTTCTGAAGATAAGAATTCACTGAGCCTGAGTCTGTGGTTTACATCTCTACCCTTGGTCTCCCCAAATCTCCAAACCAGGAGATTAAAGATCAATATTTTTAAATAATAAATCTCAACAACAGTCAAGGAGTACAGTCTAACAAGCACAGGCCCTTAATATCCACTTACTACTGCATTTTTATTCTAAAATACTGATTGCTAAGAGACTGAAAATAAAAATCCCATCAACATGTATGGCTTATGGTTATCATTACGTTGATTAGTTGTTTTAATTTGAGAATTTTGGACATGATTCCTAGTTCCAGCACATAAAATTTTCCATTGAAAGCAGATTTTGGCATTCTTTGCATGAGATACAGTGGTTAGTGTTAACATGCAACCAAAAATTTTATGCAGGCAAATAAACTTACTTCCTTTTCTTTGGGCTCACATCCAAAACACTGTTTCTAATATATGATGTACAAATGTCCCATAACACTGCTTTATATTAAAAGCATGAGCCAGAAAGGTCCTATGAGAACACTTCATAGGTCAGTATTTTTCATATGTTATTATTATTCATGCCTACATACCTATATGGAAATATAGAATCACCTATAACATATTTAATTTCTTCATAGAAAAATACTTCAGGAACAAAATTTAGCAGGTCCTACTAAATGGTGTGAACATGCTGAGAAAGATTTATTCACTTGACTCCTCTTACAAACATCAGTTGCAGAACCTCTACTCAAAAAAACTGAATATGGTAAAAAAACCGTATGATAGCATGAAGCTGCACCTGCTGAATTTTTTGGTATATTGAAAAACCAATGGCATTATTACCGCAAGTTTTACATTTCTGTTGGGGTTGGTTTGGTTTTTTTGGTGGTTTGGGAGGGAGGTGTTTGGTTTTTTTACCTGAACCACTGTAAGACGATGATGAAGGTGTTCGCCTTGAAAAGCTTTTCACAGCAAGACTCTGCCCTCGCTGCTTCCGCCGCCAAGCTGTTCGGCATTTGGAGTCTATGCTTTGCTTGATTCGGTACCAGTCAGATTCGGTGATTCCAAATTTGTAAAACAGGTGACCTGTAATTAGAGAGAAACACAAAGGGTGTGAAAATTAGCATAAATCTGTATTTTTAGGAAAATGCAGATGACACACAGTCATGCACACAAGGTGAAGAAACCAACTCTGAAAGTTTTAGTGACATTAAGAAAAATGCCAGAGCTCTCTGGTGGTGTGATTTCAACAGCTATACACAAAATTAAGTCATCATACATATGCACGGTTATGTATTTAAAAATGTCAGTAGTCTATGAAATTTCCTGATCTACGCTTCTATCCGTGGAAACTGCACTATTACATTTGAGATGTGCAACACCGACCAACAAAAGGATTCAGCGCTCTGGAGCCCAAACTGGATAAAAGCTTTATCGCTGATAGTGCTCCACAATATGCCTGATAAGTAGGAAGGCATATAAAGCCCTCTAAAAAAAAAAAAAAAAAAAAAAACACCGACCCTCTTTTAAAGCTCAGTTCACAATTCATCAGAATCCAATAAAAATGCAATACAAAATTACAATCTTCTGAAAATGTTACTACCAGTATTAAGTCATTTAAAGAGCCACATTATGCACTTTCCAGCCTTTGGTGCTAAGTTGCCAAACTGTTAAATAAACACAACGTTGACTCGTGAATTGAACCGAGTATGCTGAAATAAAGCTCATACAGATTGAGTCCTGCTGCCAGCTTGAACCAGGTGAACGCGAACTGGGACCCTAGTTATACACGAAAGAGCAGGAGCAAAAAGACAGTTTCAGGTACGACAAGAAATACTTGTCTGGACACCTGGTTTTAAAACTGGGAAGGAAATGTTGTGCATTGTCGGCTGTTTCAAGGTCCTACTGCCACCTGCTTCTACCACTGTATCCTAAGCCTTAGAGCAGTTTGTACTTTGCTTAAAGCATCAACAGTTGAGGGCACTGACCATATGTTAAGAGTAATTTATAATCCTCATGGCTGCAGAAAAAACACTTGAAGCAGTAAATTCAAAGGTTCAAAACCCATGAATTAAAACAGAACAATCTGAACATTTAACATTCTCTAAAACTTCAGCCCTTCTCCACTTTTCAGATTTATACGTGCAATGGTGCAATTAAAACTCAACCCAGAGCTGTACTATATGTGATTATGCTTGAAGGGTCTCTCAAAATTCTTATTTTCCTTTTGGTATCAGTTGCCTTCCATACCCTGTAAAATCAAATAATCTTTTCAACCACTGGATTTACAACCTTACTCTCAAATAGGATCCTGATCCTGAGAGGTACTTGAACACATGCTGAAGCTGTTACGTAGTCCTAGGAATAGGGTATAGTTTGCTCCTGTAAAACAAACGATTTGAAGCCTACAGCCACAAAACTCCAAGTTTGCACAAACGAAGAGCTTTGCACTTTCCTTTGTATTACAAATGAGCCAAGAGTCCTCAGCGAGGGAAATCTGCAGGTCGCTCTAACACGGTCGAGTGGAGCACTGTATCTCTTACGTCATCCTCATTTCTTACACACATTGTTTCCTGATACTCTTACATTATTTATTATAGATCTGTTCAAAAAGCAATTTGAAATAAAATAGAGAACATACAGGAGGAAAACACCGGCATCGAAAAGCCAATTCCAAAGCACCCGAAAGGCCCCAGGATTTCTCTCTGGCACGTTACGTAGAGATGGCTTTACAGCCCCCGCATTATGGCTCCAAAAAGGGGGTGGGCGCAGGAAAGGAGGAAAATCCACTGAAATGATCATCTGCTGCTGTGCAACAGTTTCCTTTCCATAGGTGTCAGCAAAAGGAAAGCACATTCTGTACTGTAAATACCCAGACCACACTGCTCCCTGTAATCTGTTACTAATACGCGCTGCAGAGAAATGGCTTTATAACTGTTTGCAGTAATGCCCCAGAAAAAGTTCTGCTTTAACTCTTTGTATGACTTCAGCTGTCAGTGCATGCAAAGCACTTGTGTACTTAAATAAAACCCAGTCACATGCTCTGTGGTTATTTTGCAAAAACGTCCATATTTCATTCATAAATACATTTTAATGACTTTCATGTTGTCTGCTGCTCTGTTTAGAGAAGCGGCTGGATCAACTGTAGGTCACTGAAAACTCTCGTGGCAAAGCAACCTAGCTAGGAAATTCAACCATTACAGTGTAATCCAGGGGATGTTCCAGGATGTCACTTAATTCCAAGAGAAATCAAAAGGAATATAAATTATTTGGGACAAGATAGTCTCAGGTGCAGCGAGCCGTTCACACTGAGACCCAAGCCCTGGAGGACAAGAGCTTGAGAGAGATGATGGGTGCCAGAGCTGCGATATAAAACATCCCAGAAATTGCCCTGTTGAGGGAAGACAGGAAAAGACCTGCTTCTACTGACTGATCACAAAAGCTATCATTTAATCGATGTGATAAGGAACGGCTGTGAAATACTGGACAGAGAGACCACTGCCTTCACGGAGAGAACGTGACGGCAGAGGAAAGCGTGGAAAACCGATAACAAGGTAAAGAGGGCAGAGTCAGAGATGATGATTTTAGGCTAGAGAGACCTAAGACGTCAGGCACAGATTTTCCAAGCCATACTTATTTCTTTTCCCTTAGTCATGAAATTCCTACGTAGCTGTTACGGTGCCCAAAGGTGTAAAACCGGTGTAGACGGAACGCCTGCTGCTTGCACAGATTTCTACCACAACGGCGTACTCCGTCACAGCAACTGCATGTGCAAATGAGGCGTGAAAAATGAGCCCTTGAGTACAAAGATAGTTGATAGAAAGGTTAAATGCATTTCAGATGTATAAATCTATCCCGTTGGTATTACAATCTAAAATGTTATTCTACTAACAGGTCTTGAGCAACCGCATTTCACAACAGTCCACCGACGACCAAAGAAAAATCTAACGCTAACCACAGTGGAGTATTTTTGAAGTAGATAAAACGTTCACCATAACATTAGAAATATGATTTACCTGTAGAAGAGAGATACATCCCGAAAACATGTGCAAACAATATTAGCAAACTGAAGCGTGCTGACTTTCTGTTCTCTATCCATAAACGATCACATGCAGGAGGGCTTTCAGCTGTCTCATTCCGAGTATGTCAAACACCAAAAAAAAAAAATACTTAGAAAGGCAGCACTAAAGCAAGATACTGCAAATGAGACATTTAACTTGAGCAAGTCCATATTAGAGAAGACAGAAATACTTCAGTGAGAAGGGAATTTGACTTTTTCGCAACATTTGCTAGTCAAAAGCAGCATGAAGCACAGTAATTTGTAAGCAGCACGGTATCCACGAGCCACAGAACAACCCTGCTAAAAACACATAAAAAATACATTCAGCGATATAATTCATCGCTTTGGCAAACAGACAGCAGTATTTTGGAAGACAGATGCACTTATACAAGAAGAGTGAAGTAAAGGATTTAGATCATCTAAATCATCTAAATGGCTGACTGTGATTTTAGAAGATTTTTTTATTTAGGACAATGGATAGTTGCCGGTAACGTTCAAGACAAAAGATGTGCTTGTTTTTAAACATTAAGTTTGCTTTCTTTGGGAACCTCACTTCCTAAGCAAAGCTTTCTAAGAAAACACACCAGAGACTTAAAAATAGTTCAGTTATTTAATAAATGGCAAGAGCTCGAGCGATTTCTGTACACCAGATAGAGACATCCTAGCAGCAGCTTGGGAGACAAAAAGGTCCCCACGAAGAGTTCAGAGACACGGGCTATCCTGAAATGCACAGAGAGGAAACCACTTTGGTTTGCAAGTAAGAAGCAATGTCCAAATCTTATCAAGCAAAAGCTTAAGAAAGGTTTTGCAGAACCTCTGCATGTGTGCATCAGGACAACTGAAGTCAGCTTTGAAAGCCAACAGGTGCATCACGCCAAGTTTTGCTTCCACATCCTAGATTAGAAACAGAGCACATTTTTATAAAACTAAATATAAATCCTATAAAATCCTATAAAACTAAAAAGACAACTGACATAACAAGTTCTAGAATGCTTCTTGTGCACCACAAAATAAGTCTTTCTGTGGTTCAAAGAAAAAAGAAAGAGAAAGCTTGGAAATGCAGTGAAAATCATCTGGTACAAACACAAAGATCATCAGCACTGATGTCTATAATGACTGGATATTCCTAAACCTTTGGGGCATCTAATGCAAAAAATAAGTAGAGAAAGGTTGATTTTTTTAAGAAAAACAGGGCTAATTAGAAAATAAAATAAAACCTCAAGAAAACAATGTTCTTGAGAAAGTAATGCCCTCTTTCTTAAAGGTCAGAAGTCAGTCAGCAGACGAAACAATCCACATAAAACATGAAATTGTAAAGAAATTTAATTAAGAACAAATTGAGGAGGAAGAGAAGACATTTGCAATATCAAAACCAGACATGAAATATTCCATCTTTCAAAATCAGCCTCCTAAAACACAAACTTCATGTCAGTAGCTTGCGTTTGGACATTGCAAGGTTGTACTGCTTCCTGTCCTCCATGAATACCAGATTTCTTTAGAAAATCAAAAGGTAAATCATTATTTTCATGGACTTGGCAGAGCTCCCTTTGCTGCCCTTTCTCCTCAGACGGCAGGGACTTTCCCTCTGTTACATTCTGAAAGATGAGGGAAAGCATTACCCCCAGAGAATCTAACAGCCACGTGGATCCAATGGAGACATATTTACATGAAATGTGTAATCCAAGCAGATTCGGTTAACTGTTCCTTCCAGTCCCAAATTCAGCATCAGTTTTAAAGTCTAGAGAAAAAGCAACAGGATGTCCTAGTCAAAAATTTATGAACAGAATCTTTTAATTGACAAGAATATGACGGATATTATGAAAAACAAGGGCTTCAGCTTCTGCCTGCACAGAATCATGAAGAGGGGCGATTATTTGGGGGTTTGGCTAACAAAATGCATTTTTTCACATAAGGGTCATACATTTGGAGTTCTTTTTATTAAACGAACAGCGTATGACAACAAAATCTGCTGTACTAAATATTTTTTGAAAAAATGAAGCACCTCTGAAGTTGCTTCTTGCGCCTT